TTTAGATATACCTCGGTATACTTCCATATGGAATCAACAGAGCAATGAAAGTTCCCAGGTTGGAGAATCGACGGGGCTCATTCTTGGTCTCGAGGAGCTCCGCCGCGTGGCAGTCGGGGGCATGGGATCAATAAGCGCCTGTTCATACGGTCGAACCAACGACGACGGAGAGTATAGGATTATGCCTCTTGAAGGGCGCTTTCATCTGATGCGCCCTCTGACGCGGGTTGAACATGAGCAACCGGTACAAACGTCACTCACAGTCTCTTCGTCTGACTCAGTCGGAACGGAAGCTCTCACTGGATTTTTCCCACCCGAGGATGAGCCAGCAACTCCTGCTCGTCAGGTTGCGTTACTCTCTTCCTTGTCTTCTGAAATGACGTGCTTACCTACACCTGGTCCAAACGAGCTCCCGGCCGCCCCTCATGTGCGACTATTGTCCCTTCCACCCACTCCCCTTCACTACGACCCTGCTTCTTCTCGCCAACCTTCCGTCATTGCTGCTGATTCGCCGCAACCACAGGTTGGAATGTTACCCACTCCTTTATCATCTCCCCCCTTGCAGTGGAATCCAGCTGTCCTATCTCCCAATAATCTGACTCCATCGGCTCCTCAAACGACCACCTACTTCTCTAATATCTGGGGTCATTACCGTGCTGGTTCCGGCAGTCTGACCCCGCTACCAGTTATGTTTCCTGTTGCTGGTGACGCGTCAGCAAGCAATCTAGGCGTTGTGCAATCCAAAATTGCACCCAGTCGCACTGAACCACTAGAAGAACCCGCTGCAGCTGACAAACAACACCTCTTACTTCGTCAAGGCTCGTATTGCAATGACATAAGCGAAGAGGGATCACCAGCTCCTGATCCGACCAAGGTAAAGCGTGTCTTCGCGTGGGAGGAGCGAGAATTTGCTCCTAGACGGGTTTTCCCTGAAGACAAGGCCCCGCTCTCCAATACCCTTTCTCCCCTCCACCTTTCTGCCACCACTGCCACCCAATACACTCCGAACAGAGGAGTTATTCCTCAGTCTGCCAAACCGTCCCCTTTGGGGGATATCTTCTATAAAGAGAATGCATGGGACTATATGCCTCATAGTCGGAAATTTCCTCTTAAAGCTCGTCCTGGATCTAAATCCTCGGTTCCAACTTCAAGGTTGAAGTCCCACCAACTATTGGAAGCAGAGAGCCAAGATGGAGACGTTGAGGATGAATGTGATGCGGAGTCAGCAAATGAGGAGCAACTGCCGGGAGAGTGTATGGTAATGCATAATGTTGGAGGCGTGTGGTATCGATCTATCGGAGTGCAGACTTATCCTAGGGCGGGCGTACGAGTTGCAGTGGACCCCTTGAGGATGACGTCACGGTCTCGCGAGGTGAGCAATAGCTCCCAGCGACCTGGCTTCCTTGCTACTGGGTCTAATATGTTCCCCTCTCTCCTGGTGGAAGACGTTCCCGAACCTAACGTACACCGGCCCTTTGCATCGTCCCGGATTATGATATCGCAGGGCGTCTCTGCGACCCCAGGTGACGCTGGTCCAATCCCAAGTTCTACACCATTAGACACACCTACCCGCTTGCCCCCCATCAGTAAACACAGAACGGGTGGTCTCTCAGCTTCATCCAGATTGCACGTTAGCGATGTATCCACTTCTCCGTCGCCTCACAGAGCACGACCTGTTACCCCAACCCGAAAGGGGTCCCGCATTTGGGAATTTGCTCGTGATGTTGAAGCAGTCAAGCGGGCATCTGAAGCGGCCATATCCAGGCTTTCGGGTGTCCAACACGGCGAGTAGTGGGTGAATTCTCGATCTATGTGTAGATCCTACTACTTTTGGTGACGTTACCGCCCACACTTGCTTCGGCGGCAAGCATTTATCTTGACTCTTCATGTTCTACTTGTACGCTCCTTCCACCAGTTATATATGAGGAAACCAGCAAATAGTAGTACTGTTTTCCCAAAAAAGCGATACATCCCAAACAACCATAAGCCCATGACGTCGACAGCCAAGGTGCGGAGCAAGGACAGATGACGTCGGTCCCCCCGGGTGCATACATATATAAACATGTACTGGGGGGAACGGAAACATAGAACGCTGAATTGTGATACACTTACAACCATGACTGATCGTACAAGAACTGAAGAACCTGTACATGGTGTCGAGGGAAGCGAGTGAGCTGACCCCACCAACACTTGCCTCATCCAATTGCTTACGATTGTTTTCTCTAGGTGCGCAGAGCGCGAGACCACCGCTGCAGGAGCCCAGGCAATGGCACCGAACCCTGCGGTCGCACATGAAGTAAGGGGGAACGTAATTCAGGCAAGGGAAGCTGCCGAAAAAGCTGCCCAAGCCGCACAGGTAAGTAATTGCATCATATTTGCCGAAATAGGGTATGGGTGAATTGTTGTTTGTCTATAGGGAATGGGTCCCGAGGTCACTGGCGACCCTGTTTCTGGTGTTGATGTCTTACAGCGCGAAGTCGAGCATAAGACGAATGCTGCCGTTGCACAAGGACGGCAGGATATCGGGACAGCCAAGAATGTTGGTAGCCAATATGCTGACCAGGCCAAGACCACGGCGAGCAACATCGTCGATTCTGCCAAGGTTAGTCCGCTCCCCCTGGCGTGCGATGCGGGTGGCAACTGAACACCTGCAGAATGCCCTACATGGAACTTCGGAAGAGAAGCCACGTTCAATGGGATCTTCGACGGGGATTTCTGCGCCAGGGCCTACCTCTCCGAGCTGGGGGACCGGCGATGCTCTCACATCACTGCAAGAAAAGGCGTCTTCTGCAGTAGGGGCAAGCCAACAGTATCTAGCTAGCGCACAAGCAACGGTCCAGCCACACATCGACAGAGTGCGAGAGGTTGCACAAACGTATCTGGGCGTGGGCACAGAGTCGATTACATCGGGTGTGGCGGCTCCGCCCGTTGAGACGTCTGAGCGTCCAAGAACGAACCTACGTTCCGACACAGCACAGGGGGTACCTGGTGCATTCCCCGGCGATTCTGGACTACCAGTAACTACGACAAATGTGAATGAGTCAAAACCCTAGGGCTGAACGAGTTTAGGTATTGATAATTGAAGTATGTTGCTGGGATCTGAGTGGAAGATACCCCCGTAGCTATGTCCATACACAGGAAAGAGATAACTTACTATCGATGATCAACAACCCTATTTCGACCCCACTCGAGAGGTCTTCCGTCTGGTTTGGGTGATATGGAAAAGAAACTGCCAAACACGTTCTAGGCAGGTGTGTCACAAGGAGTTCGCCGGAAGCCGTTAGCAGGTGTCTGACTCCGAATTGCAAGTCTGATGGAACTTCAGGATCAGTTGAGACGTCATGGCATGTGAAATGGAGTCCCTCTTTGTAGGGGAATATACCTGCCTTCGACATAATGCTGTGCGACTAGATAAGTATAATAACTAGGTAGATGTCACGAATCGAGGTTACCCCGTCCTCTGATACTACCATCGCCCCTCACCATGGCGAGCACTTACGGAATTCTAAATTCTTAAACGACTCACTGACGTTACCGATTCCAGGATACATTCATCAATCTCGCGAAGCAAGGTTACCAGACGTACTCGGAATCCCAAGCTCAATCCCAATCCCAATCTAGGCCTCAGTGTTAGTGTTCTACACTATCTTCACGAGATCGCGCAGATCGTGACAGAGACAATGATGTAGCCGACTTCCGTAGAACGGGCGGCGAGGAATACAACAGTCCTCACCACCGTAGAGCTGAGAGCGATAGACCCGAATGTAGGTTCCGCTGTCCGCACATTACTTGATCGTCATAATCATCACATCAATTTCGATCTAGTCGACGACGACGAAGTCGTCCGGCATGCTAGTAGCCACAGTGGCTCTGACGACTCCGGCATATTCTCATCTGCGTTGAACCATGTCAGGGGGCGCCGAGTATGTCGCCGAATTCTTCTTCTTAACCACTGTTTTCATCGTTGTACCCAGGACGAACACGAGGAGCCCGTCGACGAGGAGAGGGTTCAGGAAGCCCACGATAGGGCCTACAATCAAGGGTCCGCTAGCAATATGAGCGCTAGCTCGATGGGCAGCGCGGCTGCTTTGCAGGTAGGATAAGTCCACCGCCATTTGTCGAGGCCTTGAAAGACGCTCGTACTGACGTGATGATAGGCACTTAAATCATTCACTTCCGGTGGAGGGAGTGGTGGAGGCAGCCAGAGCCAGTTGATCAGCTTAGCGATGGGTGAAGCAAGCAAGCTTTTTGATAGTAGTGGGGGTGCGAGCTCTGGTAGCAAGCAAGACGCGGTCAACGGCGCAGCAATGACTGTCATGAAGCTCCTTGTTCAATCCAAATTCAGCGGTGGTACTGTTGGCGGTGGAAACAGTGGTGGACTGGGAAGCTTAATGGGGGTTGTAAGTCATTCGAGTGTTGTACTCTGCAGGTTACTGACGGCTAGCAGGCAAGCAAATTTATGTGAAAACAGCGCTGCGCTCCGTTGATATAATCATACGTATATGTTCACCGTCAAGTTCGAAATTATCTTGTGATATTAGAAATGTATGTAACTGGTGATGAGGAATCAAGACGAAGTTCCGTGAACGACGTGTGTCAGGACCATCGAAATTATGCAGGCCAATCGAAAAAAAAAAAGATACTCGAAAGGTGGACAGCTCAACTGCGCGAGAGAACACGCACAAAACATTATTTCTAATGCGTGATCCGGGGGATATTCGCAAACGTTGATGGAGGTTCGGGATAGTTGTCATGGTCGGGCTCATACGTGCCGTTTCGTTTCAAAGTTAGCTTGGTATGTATGTGCTCACAGGCAAGCTTCCTATCACGCACGTGGGTAGTGGGCGTCGAGGACTTACATGAGATTAAGCCTGATACTGTAGTCAGTGACATCATACATGTGATCGGGTCCTCAGCTTGCTTGGACCAAGGAAACTAACAATGTCGTTTAGCTTCTCTGGTCGGCATATGTATGTAGGTCACGAGTCTTTCGCACTGGGAGCGTAAGTGGTGTATGTCGTGGCCGCTGTACTGTACAGGGGTTGCGAATCACATTACAAAAAAATGTTTGACATCGCTTTGTCCGCAAACGACGCGTGCAGGGCTGTGGAAATCATGCAGGCCAATCGAAAGAAGGGATACTCGAAAGGTAGACTGGTCAACCGGGCGAGATAACGAGTACAAAAACATGTCTGATGCGTGGTCCGGGATATTTCTGAATTGTGTGGTATGCTATAGCTGCGTGTTATTACAGTGTAAGTATTACTTCGCTGACATCGTTCGAAGGCAATGCATTGCGCATACGGTGTAAATAGCACGGTATATGTGAAAAGGTGTGAACATCAAGGCCTGATGCGTAGTGGAAGACGGGTGTGCGGCGGCGAGACCGTCTTCTGCATAGCCTGCATGATGGTATGGTTATCTTGCGAGATCAAAAATTGGGAAATTACATTGGGTGTTGAATGAAGTGCCGGTGAAGGATCAAGTCGAAGGTCCTTCAATGGATGTTTGGCAAGATCATTGAAATCATCCAAGCCAATCGAAGGGAGAGGTTCTCGAAAGGTGGATAGCTCGACCGGTTGAGGTAACGGAGACGAAACCGCTTCCGGTGTTGTGGCAGCCGGTGAACTCGATTCAGAAGACGAAGATCGCATGGAAGAGCCAGAAGATGGCCGATGACGCCCCAGGGAATCTGGAGTTGAATGTGGCAGATTTCGTGTTGAAGTTTGTGGCACCCGTTTGGGCAGGGGAGCTATTTTTCGCCCGCCTTTAAACGGCGCCTGAAGAGAAGGTTGTATCAACGTGACAGGTCGAGACCGTGGACTGAGTGTACGGAAGGGACGTAAACGGTCTCGAGGAGCAAGAACGGAGGGAAGAAGAATTAGTGGGGGTTTGGTAGTGAATCCTGCCGTCCGACAGGTTGCAAATAGTGGTGCTGCAAATGGTTTAACAGTGATTGACGCAACTGCAGCACCAATTTCAAGTGTGTGAGCTGGGCGGGTTTGCTGACACTGGCGGCCATGGTCATCCCTAACACTCAACTTTGAGAATATCTCCATGAGACCCGACATGCTCATGACTTCCAGCGGGGAAGACCGGACAGGCGAAGGTCGCCTCTGCCAAGGTAGCAAGTGGGATTGTAATACACTATTTTCTAGAAAGGGCTCGCATCGAGGGGGGGGTGGATAGGTCGAAGGAAAGGCATGAGGGGGCGCTGGAGCGTCAAATGGATCCTGGAAGTCTGAAGTCAGACACAATGGATTATGGCGCATCGACTTGCTTACTATGGCTTCACCCCTTAATGTAGATAGTCGGTTGCAAACTTCGTTCCGCTTCAAGTGCTGTTTCACCTGATCGCATGGTGTGCCTTGAGAAAGCGTTGTTCCGTCCAGCAGGGGTTTCTTGAGCAAAAACTTTCCCTCCTTCCTGGAGCGAGTGCGTTTGCGTTTGTTTTGAAACTAGTTGGTGACCACAGGAACAAAGGTCAGTACCAAAGCAACAACTAATAAAGCAACTGACCCAAACGTGAATCTGCCTGTATGTCATGCCAGATTTCTTAGCGAGAAAGACTTTGTCGGCGTGCGTTGGGAAGGGGTTTTCATCAAAAAAGCGTTCTAGCAGAGGAACGTATTCCTAATTTACAGCCCAGTTATAATACTCAGTCGGTGAAGGTATGAGTAGGTAACTCACGATATTAAATGTCACATGTGTGCCCCTGCCTCGGTGTGGACGGTCGTTTTGACCAGAATTTATGACTGTATGGCTCTTATACAATGACAAGCCATCTCTCAGCCAGCCTTCGAGTTTCGTAGTGTATAACTCTTTGATGGTAGTGAAGAGTTCGGATTCGAGGGACGGAGAGGTAGACGGGCCCGAGTGCCGTGATGTGGAAAGTGCTACTTGAAGCGCGGCGGTCTCATAGTGATGTTTAAGTTCAGAGGCTCGCTGTTGATAAGCTTGCTGCATCTCCTCGGCCAACGCGGTCGGCGCACCGGCATTAACCAAAGCAGACAGCAGAGAAGGTGGTTCAGGTAATGAAATAGGGAGAACTCGTTCGTTTCCAGGCCGCACAAAGTGCCTAGAAGGCGGAATTCGTCCAAGATACTCCTTCGAACAGCTCAAAATTCGTTGAAGGACCAAGTCCATGGTGAGTCTGGCGATGGGTGGCGTATTGGTGTGAGTGAACTGATATCGCAGTATTACTCGCATACATAAGCACTTGCCTTCATTGTCATTATGTAAACAGAAAGTCTGAACTGCGCTTCAAACTCCGCATTGTCTACGATTCTCTAAAAACTGCAGCTTGCTGAGGTGTTCCGTCACAAATCATCATCGCTATTCTCAAGTATGGACGCGGAAATACGCCAACGACTCATCGATGCCGAGGGAGGTCTGTTGTTGGCCTTGTCTGATGAGAGGCGCTTGTTGCCTTTCCATTCTACGTGGGCAAAACTTCAGGAAGACATCGCCGGCATGAAGTGTCAGGGTGAACTCACAGAGGAAACGCTGATGCTGGCGCACGTAGTAGCATCTCGCATCTCCATGATTGCACAATGTTGTCTTGAAATGCAACAGGAGCAAAAGTTGCTTATGGCTGAGTTGGCAAGTGGCGTGGAGGATATTCTGAACGGGCTAGACGACGTTTCTATCACATCAGTCTCGCAACAAAGCGAAGAGAGGTGTGTCTCGTGGCACGTTAGGTTTCTCATTGCTGACTAGCTCTGCTTTCAAAGATTCGTTCCTTTCATCGAAACAGCTTATAACTGGCTGCTTCAGAACATCCATAACCCATATCCTTCCACGCAATTCAAGGCATCTGTCGCTAAGACTTGCAGTTGTTCACAGAATTCGGTGAACACTTGGTTCATCAACGCGCGGCGACGCATTGGTTGGACATCTTTGTGTCGCGAGCAATTCCACAATTGCCGAGCCGACGCCCTGGATGCCGCATACCGTGCTCTCGTTCGACCTGATCCAGCACGTCCACTGCCTGCAATTATAATCCAGGCTTTCGAAACTGTTAAGGCTAATACGGAGGGACTATACTCGTCGACGGTTGCCTGGAGCGCCAACACCAAAGGTCTCGATGCTTCTGCGGATGTAACGGAATACGGCAAACAGAAATCTACTGATGAAGATAATGCGCGGCAGGGAACATGCAGGACAAAAGGAAACGCGCATACACGTCACGAGAGCTGGTGTTCCGAAACACCGACATACCCTTCTCCTTTCTCATCCCCACCGCCTCCAGCATTTGCCATCCCTACTCTCATCCCTTCGCTTTCAGATGAAAGCGATGATGAAGACCAGGACGTCGCGCCTCCCGTTCTAGCCGGCCGTAAACGTCGAGCAAGTCTATCAGAAGACCAATGTACTACTCGCACCGAACGCCAGAAACGCTTACGGCATGTAACACATTGTGATTGACGCTTTGCTGAACTAAAATTGGCCTAGTGTCCGGTCTCCCCTAACCCCAAGTACTAGTGCAAGCGAGCCTTTGTCTCCTTCGTCCGACGATGGAACCACTACTCAACCTTCAATAGGAACGCAAGTTAACTGTGTACTGCCTCGGTCTCGTAAGCGGCGGCTTTCTGAAGGCGCTGAATACAACCTTCCCAAGCGCCCCCGTGGTTCATCTGTTGAGCCCCGCCTTCAGGTGGTTTCCGATCCGCTTCCGCGAACGACATCGAATGAAGGTGATATCGAGGATTGGTTTCAAACGAATTTTCAAACACTATTTGACCTTCCTCCTCCTGTCGAATGCTTGGATCCTGACCCCTGCATGCAATGGGAATTCTTGTTTGGCGGATATTCGATACCTTCAGCCTCGCTCCAGAGTCAGCCTCATTGTGAGTATTAGTTACTTTGTGACTCATCCCTATCCCCCTCACGGAGTTTCAGTGATGCATTCACCACCGAGGTCCTCTGAGGTTGTGCTACATGATGTAGAGGAGCGTGGTGGCGATTGTAGCGGCTTCGACGACCTCTTCTTACCCCTTGAAAATGAGGCTTGTGAAGATGCATTGTCAGGTATACAGTCATCGGCCCTCCAGCCCTTCCCTGAACACCAATTCGCGCTGTCTGACGGAACGCCGTCCGTGGGAGGTGTATCATTTCTTGACGACTGGGTAACACTCTGTGAATCTACCCCTCAGACGGAGGGTGTCGGTACTTATGCTCCTGAACCGAGCTTCGAGTTCCCCGACCTCTTGGTGTCACAACCTTCGGTAAATATCCAGTTAGGTCATGCGGCCCTTATCCTCGGGGATATTGGTTTGCCTGTTGGTGCTTGACATCGCGACTCCACACTATCCTTATTCATAAATATGCGTCATTGCTGTTCTGCTTTCGAATGCTGCTACTCACTGGTGATTGTTGTCCTGTTACTGCTCCACCTACTTTCTCTCATTCGCCATCCATGTTTTTTGGTGTATTTTTTAGATTGTATCTATAAAACATTTTTAACATAATGTAGACACGGATTAAGGGTACAACGTGGTCCTGTTTCGCTCAAGGTGTGCTCCGGCCGCTGACCTTGGCCGCCTACGTATCGCTGCAGCACTGGCTCGAAGGTCAAGTCAAATTACCATAATAGATTGCTCATCATTGGATGTGGGTATTACATGAAACCTGCGCTAATGGTTCTACGATCCTGATGGCATTAATGGCGGCTGGAAATACTACTATTATCTATCCCCCATTGGCCAACAGTCTGCATAGCTGCTGCGTCCCCACCTTGCAATGCTGGCAGTTTGAGTAACGCACTTAACATAAGCCAGGGATTTTTTCCACCCCCGTAATACAATACTTCTCGCTTGTACCTTTCTCCTAGTTCCCGATCGACAGGGCTCGACACAAATATGTGCTGCCATACATACGACGCAATCGCGCGATCAAAGAGGTATGAGTAGTATGTTGCGCCATAACCAAAAAGATGGCCAAATTGCGTCTGGAAGGAAGTGCCTGGAGTGTGCGGGATCAAGCCACGCGTATTGGTTAAGTATGCAAGGACCGCAGTAGAATCGAATTCCGAATCTAAAGCCAATGGGGAGTGGTATACTTGGTCGAGCACCGAAAGCAATACACTGCTGTGCGTGTCAATGAAGTGGCATGGATCCCGATGATTGTTACCAGTTTGACTATCCGTCGAGAAGCCGTTGGTATCGAAAAGTGAGAGCACGGTTGGTGAACTGAGGAAGTGTTCCATGAGAATGGATGGCAGCTCGACGAAATCAGTCGCGCAACGGGTACCTGACACATTGTGGTACTCGGTGCGGCCGATCATTGCTACACGGGACAAAACTGCATTAGAAATCGTACACACCCTGATACAAGAGCTCACAGTGCATGGCGTGGCCCATTTCATGGAAAAGAGTCTGCACCTCGTGCCACTCGAGAATAGTTGGTCCAGAGTGAACTGAAGGTCGACTAAATTCGCATAGTAGCACGACAAGAGGAAGCTGGTATTCTCCTTGGACACCACGTAGCCTATGTCGCTTCACGAGCTCAAAGCTTTGTGAGGCCTCCAGCAGCCCCTCCTCCACACCGCTCATTCTAAGGTCACCTGCTTCGTCATCGTTGTCAGTGCGTCGTGAACACCTCACCGTATAATGGGCAGCTCCACACGCTTTTCCGTTTCGCGCAAAAAGATCGGCATATATCCAGCCAATGACCCCATGTTCCTCATCTACAACCTCTACTTTGCGCACATCCGGATGCCAGACTTCACCAGGAAGAACCTCTGACGGCAGCAGCCATATACCGTATAGATGCTTGAACAGGCGTGACAGGCCCATAAAAACCCGTCCAAGGGAGAGTGGAGGAAGTGGAATCGGTGGCTCTGGGGGTTCCGGAGGACAGTAGTAGGATCTATCCCAAGCCTGAATGACGGGCAATGACGTAGTCTTGAGATGGGCTTGCTTGCGGAGCCTCAGAGCATGCAAAGCTTCCTGCGCATGGACAGCCGTCCGATCTAAAAACGTGTCCAGGAAGTAGTTCACGTTCTCTGCAATGACAATTCCAAGGTTTAGGAATAAACTGACCGTCAGTCCACAGAATCACCCACCCGGAGTTTTGGCCATCTTGTCGTGAAGAACCATACCAGCATAACTATCCCAACCAACTAAGCATGCCAACTCAGCTCGTGCGCGCAAAAGCCTCTCCAAGCATTCAATCTGCCGAGGCGTACTTGAATGCGCAGCCACGTATAACTTTTTGCGCGGCGATTCTAACGGCGCGGATCTCATGATCATATAAGCCTGGTGAGATCCGGGATACACCAGTAAACTCTTTTGCGTGGAAGAAGCTTGTCGTTGAAGCCTGGCGCCCATGCCAGTATCCTTCAGACCCTCTAGTTCTGACGCGTCAATTAATGCGGCCGGCCTTGGAGCGGAAGCCTGATTGACGAATTCGTGTCCAAGGGATAGGATTTCAGAGGAGAGGGATACGAACTTCTCTCTGCTTTCCGGTGGCAATCGTATGGCCGACTTCTCAAAATCACGCCAAAATATAAGCGCAGTCTGATAGGCCTCCGGGCCGAGTGACTTGACGATTTCAGGGTCATGCAACACCACGTCAAGAACCTGAATGCATTGTAAGCAACAAGCTTACAGTGCTAAGGGCCCACTCGCCTCATACAAGCCAACGTTTGTGTTCAGTACGTTCATGTACTCGCACAGCTTTTCGTAACTGTCGTTAGCGGACTGCACCCATTGTGGATCGGGATGGGCATTTCGGAGGAGCTCAGCAAGGTCAATGACGCCACAAAGTAAATCGCTGAGCCTGTCCAGGTTTTTGACGACCTTGAAAAGCTCGCTTCGCGACTGTGCGGCGCGCAGAATACGTGCCGTCAGTAGCTGGGCGCGTACCAAAGTTGAGTCAGCCAACGCGGTGAAAGCTGAAGGCGTCGTCAAATGCGTATGCTGGAATATCCCAGTCACGGAGACTGCTCGCGTCCTGTGGCTGGACTGAGGCTGATCGAAGAGAGACACTAGATCAAAGTCGTCTGGTGAAGGCGGTATAATTGGTGTCAGCGTTGACGACTTGCGGACCGCAATATTACACCGGCAGACCCTGGAGCGAAACGAAGGCCTGAGAAGCTTCCGAAAAACATTTTGAGTTAGTCTGGCTATCATCAAGTGATGACGAGCGGATAGTTTTTGGGAGTGCGTCAAGCCAACTATTACAGCCACTGACAGTGAGACGTTTACATAACCCAGCCTCACAACTCGCCAAGAAGCACCGACGTCCCCCAAATTTCGGAATCTCATCCAAGTCAGTTTTCTTTCAACTATCGGAGTCATGTATTGGTCCCGCAACGCTAAGCAAGATCGGGGACAGGTCGGAAAAGTGCATAAATTACTACGAGAGCATGGAATAACATTGACATCGTTAGAACGCTGAGATGTATGATAACGTCGTGTAAGAGAATAAAGTGACTGACTATAGTATGCTTAAACCAATGCTGGTAGGTGGTATGGATGAAAGATGAAATACAACCTGTAGGGAAATGCTTGGAAGGGAAGTGGCTCCTGGGGACAAACCGTATCAAAAAATCAGTGTGGCCTTGGCTGCTCTGGTAAAGGCGGTGGACTATCATCAATGGACCCATCTAAATCCATGTCTTCCCCGTGTCTGTTGACTGTGGCAAATTGACCGTCGTTAGTTGCGGGAGGTCCCGTATCTCCGTTGTGATGGTGGCCATTTGTAGCGGTCAAAGCTGTGCTGCCGGTCACGGTCGTTCTCCCATTCGTCGCTGACGGATGGATAGGCTCCACCGCGTAAAACCAATACTTGCTCTTTTTCTTTCCGCCAACCTGCTCAACCGCAATCTCGGTCGGTTTTACTGCCGCAGCACCGTCCGTCTTAGGCTTCGAACTGCCATTGGTTGTGGACGGCGCGAGAATATTCCCTGCAGCAGCAGACCCAGGACTCGACCCACTCTCCTCTGTCCGGGCTCGTTTAGGCGGACGGTCAAGTTGCGTATCTTCCGACGTTCCAAGGCGAGTCGACCGTCTTTCACCCCGCCATTCGTGTGCCAAAAATTCTGGCGAAGGGCGCTTGCCTCTTGTAACCCTCGTAGATCTCCGTCGTGCCTGCAGGCCCGTTGCGCGGCGAGTAGACCGTTTCTCACGAGAATGGGAACCATCGGTGCGTTCAAATTCGTCGTCATCCTCCTCCTCGAATGCGTATTCATCAGCGTCATCCTGGGGCGAAGGTCCAAGTATTAGCAGTGAATTAGTATTACCCCTCGGCGATTGACTTGCCTCGCCGCTCTCCATGTCGTTGTATACGTAGTCCGGACGGCGTGTCTGACGGCGTGTCCGAGTTTCTCTAATTTCTGCCTGGGCCATAAGGACATGTCTCTGTTCGATCTTTCGGCGGACCCTTTGAACACGCTAATCGAGATCATGTCAGCGAAATATCCAACACACAGCATGTACCCTTTCTCTGAACTAACTGCATTTACGCAACGGAACGCGACTTACCGCTAGTTCAGCTTCGACGGCTTCGACACGACTCTCTAGAGCCTGTATTAAAGCAACATGGGCCTGTTCAATCTTGTTTTTCTTCGCGCCTTGCGGAGCGGAGGCCTTCAGACTTTGTATCACGGCGAGGTATTCCTCGCGCGTTGAAGACACGGTCTGGAATGTCGCCGTGACCTTCCAAGGGTTGGTTGACACATATATCCGTGGCGAATCTGAGATAGATCAAAGTGGCGGTCAGCGGAAAATTCATCCAGAACGGCTAACGCCGGAATCATGAAGTCAAAAAAATGCGGCCTCTGCACCAAATACACGCAAATAGGTAGTGGGGTGAAAAATGAAAGACACACGGACCATCCACAACCCAGTAGCGCTTTCGTGCACAGTCCTGTCCGATAGGAACGAGTTGCAGGTTCTCCCGACTCTTTGCGTCCGCTGGTTCGGGCGGGGCATTTGTGGCGTCCTTTTTTTTGTACTTATTTTGCGTCACGCCCCACGAGCGATCGATAACGCCCTTGATCTCCTGAGAGTGCTGTAGTTGCAGTTCCACCAGTTGGCGTAAAATTTTGAGCTGTTCCCGAACAACAAGGGACGCGTTTAGGGGTTATTGCGTAGAAATTACGAAATGTCACACACTTTGAGATCCCAATCGGCGGTAAAAATACCACCTTCCAGTTTGGCGAAAGGGTCCACGTTTGCCCCCAGCTGGTCGTCCCAGAACACCGTTCTTTCTGAGCTCTTGAAGGCTTCTGAAAGAACGTTGGAGACTGTAGAGGATATTTGGTCTACACTGAAAAATGGTTCCAACGTCGAGTATCTCTGCTGCACAGCTCAGCTGTGGCACATGCACTTACCTCAAGTTACGCGTCTGTGGTCGCAAATTGAGGATGAACTGCTGTAGTATCCTAGAGAGCATCGGATCGGGTTCGCGGGGAAGCAGCGCATTCTCGAAGCTGCAATCGGAGGAAATCGCGTGTTATATTTGAAGAAGAGAATGAGCATATCAACCGATGAACACTCACTCCATTGGAGTTTCCAGCCCCTCGACCTTGCCACGCAGATTTGTGA